AACCATTCAGGGTCCCTGTTGTTGATTCCATTCTTGACTTTATTTCCAGTATCTACTCCCCTCGGCTTTTCTGGTCTTCTGTCTTGAGACCTGAAAATTGACCTTGACTTTATTCATCCATCAAACACTTACCAAAAAATATTTATTATGCCATGCACTTCCTGGCACTGTGGTTACAAGGAGACAAGGCTTCTGCCCTGGAGGAACTCATATTTAGTCAGGGAAAGCGATTTGTAAAAAAATGGTTATAAGAGACAGAGAGACAGTACAATAGAAACATCCATGGACACTTGGCATTTAGAATTCAGAGTTGTACCTTGAGAGAGCCCCTGAGAATCCATGATATAAGGATATATAATTTTAGTGAGGTAGAAAATTGAATGAAACTACCTTCAAGGTTGGTAGGCAATGAAAGTAAGTCACTTAGCCAGTAATTGAGGCCAGATGCCTAGACAGGGTGTGGATTTGGGCCTGGCATTGGGGTTCTTTATTCTTCCTTAAGCACATTGTTACACTCATTACAGATATCAAGTGATTGCTTAAAATTTTCAGGTATATTTCATCATAAAATTATATACTATTGTGGGGTTCTCAAAATTGGTGAGTTCTCAAAGACCTCAAGAAGGTGTTCTTATGAATGTGAAGGAGATATTATATATACTTAAGAATAAATTCATCAAATATATAACCTGTGCAATGAAAGCTACAAAATATTGCAGAGAGAAATTAAAGATCTAAAATAATGGTACAATAAACAATATTTATGAATCAGAAGACTCGAAGTTGTTAAGATGTCAGTTCTCCCCAAACTGACTTATTGATTCAATGCAACACAATAAAAAATTTTAAAGTCTTTTTTGTAGAAATTGACAAATTCATTCTAAATATTATATGGAAATACGTAGAATACCTAGGAAGGACCTAGAATAGTCAAAACAATTTTGAAAAAGAAGATAGCTAAAGGAATTAACTATCTGATTTCAAGAGGAACAAGAGAGTTACAGTAATTAAGACAGTTTAGTATTGGTGTGAAGATAAACATCAATGGAACAGATTATAGAGTCTAAATATGACATACATATATATTTTATAGATAGACAGATAGATAGATAGATAGATAGATAGATAGCCAATTGTCTTTCAGCAAAGGGGCTAACATAATTCAGTGGAGAAAAGAAAACTCTTTTCAACAAATAGTGCTAGAATAATATGCAAAAACATTAACTTTGTCCTTTACTTCACACCATACACAAAAGTCAACTTAAGAAGGATTGCTATCTGAAATGTAAAAGTTAAAGTTATAAAACTTCTAAAAGAAAACAGGAGAAACTCGTACTAAGAGTAGGCAAAGATTTCTTAAATAGGTCATAAAGATTACAAACCATAAATGATAAACTGTACTTTATCAAAATTAAAAACTTCACTTCTTCAAAAGATACTGTTAATAAAATGAAAACACAGCCACAGTTGGGAGCAAAATGTTTGAAATATACATATTTGCACAGGACTTTTATTCAGTCTATAAAAGAACTTTATAACTCAGTAATAGAGAAAAAACCTAATTTTTTTTATGGGCAAAAGAGTTGAAAAAGCACTTTGCAAAATAAGATACATAAATGGCCGAAAAGAACATGAAAAGATGCTTAATAGTATTAATCATCAAGGAAATGCAAATTAAAATCACAATGAGATATCACTACACACATATATATTAGAATGGCTACAATTAAAAAGACTGATAATGTTATGTGCTATGAAGGATGTAGCCATTAGAATGGCTACAATTAAAAAGACTGATAATGTTATGTGCTATGGAGGATGCAGAGCAACTGGAAGTCTCACACACTGCTTGTAGGGGTGTAAAATGATAAATCATTTTGGAAAACAATTAGGCAGGTTATTATAATGCTAAACATACACTTGCCTATGACTCAGCAATTTAATTCCTAGGTATTTACCCTAGGGAAATGAAAATACATGTCCACACAAAGACTTCTACGGGAACTTTCACCTTAGTTTCATTCATAAGCAAAACTAGAAACAACCCAAAGGTCCATTAACAGTTAAATGGATAAACAAATCCAGTCAACGAGCATATGTAGAATATCCATATAATGGAATACTACTCCATAATAAAAAAGAATGAACTACTTATACACACAATAACATGGATGTTAAACTCAAGAAGCCAGAAACAAAAGAGTACCTACTATATATTTTAATTTATATGAAATTACAGAAAAGGCAAACTAAGGTGGCAGAAAGCAGATCCATGTTGGGTTATGTCAAATGACTTAGGAGCCAATTTGAATAGGGTCTCATTAATCAAAAATTGGACAATCTGGTTTTCAGTAAGTTTGAAAATTACAACGGAATGAAACGCATCAAGTGTATTTCAGTCCATGAGTTTATAATGATACTAAAACAAATACACACATTAAAAATATACGTAAGATAAATTAACAATTGTGGAAACAAAAATGTTGTTATAATGTTTTTACTATATTTCTAACAATATCTTGGCCTGACTCCAAAGATATTAAAATTGAGAAATGAATTATTTATTGAATATATAGCTATTGAAAGAAATTGAGGCAAAGGGAAATGTGTTAATTAGTAAGGATGCAAGTGAAAAAATTTTTTTGGTTTAAATATTTCTTAATGTTGTTTCAACAATAAACAAAACTTTGAAACTTTTTTCTATAAACCATCTGACCTTGTGTTCTACCCACAGAAATCCCCTGAATTCACATCACTTGTCCATTCTCAATTTGTGTAGTTTTTCTTCCCTCTTTTCATGTTTGAAATGCCAGGTTTTCTGAAATCTCCTAGTTTTATTACTGTAAGTAATGAAATGACAGGTAATCTCCTAAATTCCAGGCCACTTGGGTTGTATTTTGACATATAATCATTCTCAAAGTCCTAGGTTCACTTTTGATCATGTCTGCTCTGGCCCATTTGAGGACTCCGATCAGTCCACAGGCATTTGGTAAAGGCTTATATATTTTCTCCCTTTAGGTTGTCATTTAGTCCTGAGGGAAACCAGACTAAAGAATCTGGACGGATTCATAAAACCTATCATAATTAATGAGGAAAAAAAACAAACTTGAAGGGCAAGCTCTCCTGGCAATTATCAATTTGTCTCATAGTCAGAAAACAATTATTTGTACCTATCGCCAACTAGGACTGTCTGGTAAATACAGACTCTGAATGTGGCCCAGAAGAAAGGGAAGTTGTGTGTGGGAAGAGAGGAGGAGAGATAGTGTGTGTGTGCCACCAGAATTGTATTCCTGCATGTAAATGAGGGGAGGGTGTAAGTTTAGAGTTAGAAAAGACCTTAGCAATGATCTAGTCCATCCTTTTTTATCTTGCAGACTAAGAAGCAAAGACTGGAAGAAGTTAAATGAGCCATGGTCCTCAGACAAGAACTCAGGGCACTCTGAAGCCTAATTTAGAATCCTTTTTGCTATATCACCTGCATATTTTAAAAAATAAATTGCTTAGAAACTGAAACAGAAAAATTCAGCAGACAAGCTTTTAATAAATTTCAGTGTTCAGTGACATTGAGATTTTGACAAAACACTAAAAACTGCCTAAGCCATAAAGGCATTAAAATATTTATCTAAAAAAGTTGAAAACAAGAAAGTGTAAAGTTAGCTCATGGGTTCCATACAGCACACATTCAACTCTTGATCATTTCATTCCTCATTCAGCAGTATTTAATGAGTGTCTGCTCTCCCTCAGGCACAATGCCAGGTGCTAGGGACCTACAGCACAAAGTCCTTCCTAGCTCAGAACTTCCAGCATAGCAAGGAAGACAGTATATTAAAGTAGTAATTAAAGTGTGTTAGATGTTAAAATTGGAGATATGCTAGATTCTTTAGATTTACCCGTGGAGAATAATTCAAGCTCTTTCTCTTCTGTTACCAATATATTTCTCAGCTGCCTTTTTATACCATCATTTGAGTTTCCCAAATTCTTTTCAGTAAAACACTTAAAACAACAAACATTTCCTGAGCACCCACTGGTGTGCCATATATTGTGTGAAATTCTGCAAGAGAATTCCAAAGTAAACTAGCAATGTAAAAACCATTACATATGAGGACAAATTTTTTTGGATTATATATGCCTGATAAATTCAGTACTTGACAGCACAGGTGATCTTAAAAATAATTTGATATATCTCAATACTTTAGACTCCCAGGTTTTTTATAGTATTCTTAACAGGTTTTGTTAGCAAAATCAAAACCCCTGATCATTTCCAGAGTGCTGGAAGGCTCTACTGGATTCCCGGCATGTTTGAATGAATCCTATCCGTCTTTAAAAGGCCAGCTCAGAGCGCTGCTCCGCAAACGTTTCTCTTATAATCTGCATACATCTTTCGCCCCTCCTCCGTACTCTTAGAGATCCCCCACTTATACAGCATTTAGTATATATTCTTTACAATATTGATTTTGTATATGTCTGTCTTCCCCTAAACTGGATGGATCATTAAAGACTGTGACTCCCCATCCCCCTGCGCAGTCACTTTAAGAGGCAGTCTCCTTAAGAGGCAGTCTCCCCAAATCCGTACATTCACCATAGAAACAGAAATTCCATTCATAAATATAGGGGACTATCTCATTAACTACGGGGCCCTACTTCCCTCCAACTTGCAGCAATCTGGTTTATTCCATGGAGTGGAGAAGGAAGCCAAACTGGCTGGATGCAAAGGGAATGGCGTCAGTGTGAGGTCACGCCACATTGTTCCGAATGCCATCTTCAAACCGCAGTGACATTAATGCAGGATTGAGGGATGCAGCTGGAGGAAAGATACGGACCCAAGTTACCCAGCATAGGAGCAAAGAGAGGGCAGGATAGAGAACAAAGCGGGAAACCTCGCGGGGCGTGGCAAGCCACCTGGGCGCCAGCAGCGAGCGCCGGCTGAGAGGGAAAGTAAGCAGCGGGGAGCCAAGCTACAGTCGGGCAGGATGGGGCGGGACTTCCGGAAACCATTTGCCTGAGTGGCAGGGGAACCGGAAGTGGGGGTGCTGCTGCTGCTGGTGCTGGGGCCCGAGGAGGGACGCGCTGGAGCGGGGCCGCCGGGACTGAGCGAGCGACAGACGCGCCACCCGCCGACGCCTCAGCCGCTTGGGCCCACACGGACCCTCTGCCTCAGTGAGTGTATCCAGGGTTGCGGGAAACCTGTGGCTTAGAGTTGAGGGTTGAAAGGGACTGCGATTTGTTATTGTGAGAGGCCCGCGACCTCCCCTCCCCCATCCTCCAGGGCCCCTCCCCCACCCCCTACTGCCGACCCTTAGGGGACCGCGCGCGTTCGCTCCCCATGCTTGGGCCCGGCGTTGGTTCCCCAGCCGCCCACGCTGCCCCCGGACCTCCAGGTCGCTCGCGGGCCCTCTTAGAGCCTTTCTCAAACACCCCACCCTCAAACCTGTGGACTCTCCTCCGCCGCTGGCCGCCTCCTCCACCTCGTCTTTCGCCGTAGAGGAATACGGTGGCGGGGCGCACCGTCCTCTCCACCCCCTGGTGGAGGCCGCCTTGTACCCCCAGCTTCCTTTGGCGGGTGGTTCGCCGCTGTCAGCACCATTTGTAGCAACTCTTCTGCCTCTAGTCTCAGCTGTTGCCTTTCCCTCCATCCCCAGTGTTGTACCTCTGACCCTCCTTTTCTCTTTCCTCTTGTCTGAGAGGCGTTTAACGCCGGCCCAATTATTCTGTTGTTTTTTGAGCACTTTTTCCTCCCCCTTTTGTTAAAAAATTTCAATTCTTTAGGAACTTCTCTGTTTCTTTCTCTAACATATCTTAAAAATGCATAGACTGTTACAACTCAGAAGGGATTATTTCTTGGAGGGCTAGCCAGTCCAGCACCTCATTTCAGAGATAGGGCCCCACGAGGTTGGTTATTTGCCCAAGGTCAAACAGTTAGTTAAACCTGCCAATGGACAGGTATTAGGTGTTTTTTACCCGGTCCATGTCCATTTACCAGATCTTAACCTTCTGGCCTATAGGTTCGTCACAAACCCATTATATGTCGACCCACTGTTCTGCTTTTCATAGCTCTCATGCCAGCGTTGCTTTTCATAATTTATGTATAAACTTTAAGAAAATCAAACATTTGAAGTTTGGCCTCTTTTTAGAGCTTACCCACAGAGAAATGGAAGACCATCAGAACCTACTCTAGGACCTCATTTTGTAAAACTTTAAATTGGGAGAGAGGAGGTAAAGGTGTGCAGAAAGAGGAAGGAGAAAATACGGAGAATTGTCTACCCTGTGTCTTTAGATTCTTCTGGGTACATTGTTCTGATATAAAGGTTGCCTCCTTGTGGGGGAACAGGGGAGGAGTAGGAAATAATTGTGCTTTAATTGGTTAGCTTGGCCTTTGATAATAAATTATGGATGTGCTGGAACCCCAGGGACTCACCCACCAGCCCACTGAGGCAGGATATTCAGGATCAAGCCTGCCTCTCTCCTTCAGAATAACTCTACCTACCAACTGCCTCTGAGACAAAATGAAGAGTCTTAGGTCAAAGTGGAAACATTCTAAATCTTTTCATTCTTAGTGCAACTTTCCTCCTACATCTGTTTCCTGGTTAAATTAAAGAAACATCCAGCTCAGCTTGAAAATTTATCATTCTTTGTTGTTAAAACTGATTTCTGTTTAGACCCACTACACCATGCTGGTATAATCATCTAGAAATAATGCTGTTATGCTCTTGTAGTCCAAGTTAAGTAAAGAAGATAGAAAATTCAGGAAAATAGGAAAATTCTCTGCAAGTCTTTTACTCTTCATCTACCCAGAGAATTAATTTTAATGGACAGTCAAAGCTTTCCTGGTCAATTAACAAAACTTGGTGTTCTTCAGGCCTTTATCTCCATTTGGCTGGGATTTTTTAACTGAACCTGCTGTTAGTGATGTCAGAAGTTGATGCTACACTCAGGAACTTATGAATCAGTAAGGTGAGATAGGAGTCAAATTCCCTAGTTAGTACTTTATAGATCACAGCTTTACCCAGTACCACTATGTTACAATATTTCTCTCAGCCTGAGTCAAACCCCAAATCACTCAGATTTTGGTGACTTACTCACAGTTGTTCCCTGGATAGCTCAAAATTCATTCTTCATTTTTATTGTAAAGAATACAACAGTTTATTTTATCTAATTCCCAAATTATTTGCATCTGCTAAATGCATAGTCCCTTAGTTTGTACATTTCCAGCCTCTTAAAGAGATTGCATGGGTTTCTGGCTGTTTTTCTTTACCTACTGTTTAAAAATGTTACCAAGCCATAGGCGTAGGTAAAACTGAAAGCTACTTTGTATTGTAAGATTTTGATTTGGCAAAATAATACAAAATTCAAGTGTCTGAAGGCACAAAGAAACAAATTTTTGCTCAGATACTTTGCCCTTTAGAGGAAGAAGAGGATGACATTGAATTCATAGTTAAAACAAACGAACAACAACAACAGAAAAACAGACTAGATAATTGGGAATATTGTGTTATCTTCTCCCAGTTCTACCTGCCTGGTAGCCTCAGATAAGTGACATTTTTGTTCCTCAGTTTCTTTACCCATATAGTTTTTTCATTTTGCCATGAAAAAATTTAAGACCAAGATGAAAGTATTTTGTTCAGGGAATGCCATTAAATCGGAGAAGTAGTAATAAAAGATAAAAGTAATTGACTTAATAAATTAGAATTTATCATTGTTTCCTATACTCTTTTCTGTATAGAGCCTGATGTCCTTTGCTTAAGAGTAGTAGGTTTTAAAATGATATCACCCAGAGATCAAATTCTGGCTCTCCCTATCATGGAGCAGGTTCCTTAAAACTGAGTTTTAGTTTTTATTTAAATAACAAAGCTCCTAGCACAGTATCTTGTAAATAGTAAGTTCTTAATAAATCTTAATTGCAGTTATTGTTTTAGATCAGTTTACCTGTTGGAGGAACTCTGATGATTCTATAGTTTATATAGATCATTGGTCTTGAAAGTAGAGTATGTCTACTCCCAGGGATGCATAACATGATCCATTGTAATACAGGGAAAAATTTAGAACTCTCTTCATTTATTTTTTATGTAAAAAAGGAAAAAAGTAAACCTTATTGATACATGTACATGTTATAATATAGATTAACAATATAATGAACAGTACAATATACAAGTTAACAGTAATTCACATTTAATTTATAAATATATAGAGAGGTGCATTTCAAGATTCTAAAACATTAAAAAATATTTGGACCCCACTAATCTGGACCAGTCTTTACTCATATGCATTACTTTACTTTATGCTTTTCTATTAGGTGTTCACCTACCCTGTCTTTGAATCTTTCTTGTAGGAATCTGTCTTGAGATACAAGCCATGTCATTTTGTAGTCATATTTGTTAGAAATTTGCCTCACTGTATATTCTGTCTATTGGCCCTGTCTTCCTCTTTGGGGAACATGCAGAATAAGCCTAATAGCCTTTCCTAGTAACGATTGAATACCTTGACAACTATTTATGCCCCCTGTTTTCCTCTTCCCCAACCAATTTTTCTACAGGTTCTAAACATATCAATTTTTTCCCAACTGTTTTTAATATGACAGGTTTTCACATTTCTCCCATCTTGGCTCCTTTCCTTTAGACACCTTCCAGTTGTCAAAATTCTTTTAAAGTTTTTCAACAAGATAAGTACATTGTATCCCTAGAACTGAAATGAATTTAAGGGCCTGCATTTTTTCTTTTAAGTGGTGAGGGATGTATTTGAATACATATTATTATGAAGATACCTCATGGTCACAGTTTGTCACTCTTCTTTAAACCAGCAGTCTCTGACCTTTTTGGCACCAGGAACTGGTTCTCCTATCAGAACCTAATGCCTGATCTGAGGTGGAGCTGAGACGGTGATGCTAGTGCTGGGGAGCGGCTGCAAATACAGATGAAGCTTCGCTTGCTTGCCTGCTGCTCACCTCCTGTTGTGTGGCCCAGTTCTTAACAGCTGCAGACCAATAAGGGTTGGGGACCCCTGCTTTAAACAATCCCCGGTAAAAATAGTTTTAGGACTTGAAAAATGGCATAGACGATAGAGGCTTTGTTCATCCTCTTGAGACCAAATCAAAGTTGTGACAGAAACATTGAGCAAACAGCAAGCAAAGTCGCCTGGGATCTAGATGAACAAAAACACTACAACTAGGGAGTATATTAATCAACCTGCAACGGGAGGAGGTAGGAGATGGCAAAGACCGGACGAGGCTACCCAGTTGAGCCGCGGAGTAGGACAGAGGCTGGGACAGAGACTGGGGCAGCGATAGCCGGCACTGCAGATGCCTCTTAAAGGGGCTGTGTCCCCAGCGGACTTTCGCAGTGACCAACCTGCTTGCTCTGAGCACCAGCGCCAGGTAGGCTGCTCAGGAGGAACCAGGGACTTATAGTGGGAAACTGATTTGGAGCGAGGGCCAGAGGCAAGGCTTTCTCTCAGGCAAAAGTACTGGCAGTATACATTGTCCCTCTATTGAGCCCTCCCGCCGCTCCCAGTACAGATCCAGTGCCACCATAGCTGAGATGTCATCAAACTGGATAACAGAGGTGGCTCCTCCTAGAGGATTCCCTGAAACTCTTCCTCCCCCAACTCACGGTCCTACCCAAGCCACATACAGTTGTGTCCTCGGGGCGAGTCCGATGCACCTTGCTGAGCCCACTCCAAGACTCACACTGGTGGCAGCTGGCCTTGAGTTCTGGTGTGGTTTCTTGAGGCAACTATAAGCATGACATCTGTGGATTGCTTGCTGAATCTTAACTGGTGGCCCCGGAGGGGCACAAGGTAGGCTAAACTTGGCCTGCAGCTGGACCCCTCTCAGGACTGTGCCGCTGGACACCCACTACCCAAAGCCACGCTAATAAGACTGGGAGACTTAGGAGCTGTGCTTAGTATGTAGAAACAGACACATAAAGGCAGCCATAATGGTAAGACAAAGAAGCAGAAACCATATGAGAGAACAGAACAGAGCTCCAGGAATAGTCGGATGGACTCACTTGCTCTGAGGTCCAGATATAAAACATAAAAAAGAACAAGACAAAAATGAAGAACACAATAACTGAAATAAAGAATATATTAGAGGTAATCAACAGTAGATTAGATAAAGCAGAGGATCAAATCAGCAACTTAGGAGATAAGGTTGTAGAAAAGACCCAGTTAGAACAACGATAAGAAAAAAGAATCCAAAAAACGGATAATAATTTTAGAAGCCTCTGGGACAACATCAAGTATACCAATACTTACATCATAGGGGGATCAGAAGAGAAAACAAGGGATTGAAAATTATTTGAAGAAATAATGATGGAAAACTTCCCTAACCTAGCGAAGGAAATTGACATACAAACCAAGGAGGCATAGAATCCCAAACATGATGAACTCAAAGATGCCAGCACCAAGACACATAATTAAAACGACAAAGGTTAAAGACAAAGAGAGAATCTTAAAAGCAGCAAGAGAAAAGCAGTTCGTTACCTACAAGGGAGCGCCCATAAGACTGGCAGCTGATTTCTCAAAATGCAGGACTATGCAGGACAGAAGGGCTTGGCACAAAACATTCAACGTGATGCAAACCCAGGATCTACAATCAAGAATACTTTATCTAGTAAAACTATCATTTAGAGTCAAAGGACAGATGAAGAGCTTCCCAGACAAATAAGCTAAAAGAATTTATCACTCTAAGCCAGTATTACAGGAAATGTTGGAAGGACTTCTTTAAGAAGAAAAACCATGTATCAAAAGCATGAATAAAGAATGATAATAACTACATTCCTATCAACAAGTACCTCAAATGGGAAAGAATTAAGTGCTCCAACCAAAAGATAGAGTGGCTGAATGGGTAAGAAAATAAGACCCCTCCATATGCTGCCTACAAGAGACTCACTTCAGATTAAAAGACACACAGACTAAAAGGGAGGGGGTGGAAAAAGTAACTGCCTTGACAGATCTAGAGGGTGTTGGACTGAATGAAATAAGTCAGATATAGAAAGACAAATATCACATTTTATGTACACGTGGAATCTAAAGAACAAAATAACAACAAAGAAAAAAACTCATAGATAAAGAGAATATTTTGAGGGCTACCAGATGGGAGAGTTTGGGGAGGGACGGCAAAAAGGGCAAAGGGATTAAGAGGTGCAAATGTATAGTCGCAGAGTAGATAGAGATGTACAGTGTAGCATGGGGAAGATGGTTAATAATGTAATATGTAAGTGGGAAGAGAGGTACTAGATTTAGTGGGGTAATAGCTTTGTGAGTTACGTGGATCTCTGATCACTGTGGAAAAAGTTTTAGTTATATAATCATAAAGTAAGAGTAGAATAGATTATTTTTCTACTGTTAGTTGTGATTTCTCAATTATACTGTCAAATAACTGTTAGTTAACTTTTGCCTCAAAATACCTAACATGTTAAGTGTTTCCCCAGGTGGGAAAATAAATGAAAGCTAACGAAATGGGTTCCTTAAATCTATTTAAAAAGTTAGGAAATAGGCTTTATCAATTAGTGGAAATTGGAGCTGTTTGTTATTATTTTTCTTTATATATCTAATTTTGGAATCCATAAGATGGGAAAAGTTGGTTGCCTCTTGTCTGTCTCAAGGCTAATACAGTTTTTGATCAGTAGAGAAGAATGGTAATGTTTAAATTAAAACTATTGTTAAGCATCATGTCATATTTGACCTGAATAACCAGACTAAATCTAAATTTGAACTTAGACCCAAAGAAACTTTTATATAGAAGATACAGACTTTTATGGACTTAGAAACAAAAGCAAAACCCCCAAATTAACCAACTCTTTGTGACTGTTTTAACCCTTTTAATCATTTTTTTCCTTTAATTTTTAATTTTTCCATACCTTTCTTAGTGAAATCCCAAATAGACACCATACATACTCTCATTAGAATATACAAATCCACCTTGCAGCTCTTCCTGATTCTTATATTTTACGTTGCTGTTTTTAGTTCTGTGTAGTATTTACATATGTCTTTTGGATGAAATAGTTAGCTATAAAAACTCCTTTTGGGAGTCACCATGAACTGGCTTGTAATCAGTGAGCCAGATGTGACATTATTTCCTGTGCAAATTACCTTAATTGTCCAATCCTCGTTTTCCTCATTTTACAGCACTTTTGTAAGAATTAGAGGTGGTATGTATAAAACATAGCACATATAGTACTTCATAGATAGCTGTTATTTTCTGATAGTTGCAAATTTTAATAATCTAAAGAAATATATACACAGGGCGTGGATTGTATTTTACATTTTCAGTCAGGTTTGGGCCTAAACCCGAGCCTAATTTTTGTTAGACTTAAACGTCATTCATAACTGAGCTTATCTGTGTAATGAGTGATACAGTTTAATCCTCTTTCCAAGAAAGCTTAGCTGTGTTTGAAGATGGCAAAAGAAGGAAAAGATATGAACATTCCCTCCTTTTTCATAAGAGGAGAAAAAAAAAAAAGATTTTTCTCTTTCATCATCCTTTGCATTTGCCAAGTGACCTCTTGAGCCTAATAGCTCTAGTAGAGTTGTTTGAAAACAGTCTGGTTTCTCATTTGTCTTTCTAGAAGATTAGCATTTCTAAAATGTCTGAATTTCATTTATTTCTTCTTCACCACCAGATGCCATATTTTGGCTTATTATTAATAAAATTTTCTTAGCGGAGACCTGTCAAAAATAAAATATATCTAGTAAACATTTGTCAGAAACCAAAGCCTTTGACTAATTTTATCATGATATGTAGTACAATTATTTGTGCGGTGCTAGTAACCAGTGAATTCTAATCATTGCTGTAGTAATTGTGTAACTCTGTAAGCCTAAAAGACTCTAGTATAGATTTTATTGAACTATAAGTGTCTAATTCCTTGTGTCATTTGGTAGTACAGTAATATGTAATCAGGAAAAATAAGCATAGATGTAAAATATATACTTGAAAACAGATTTTTTAAATGTAATACACTATTTCTAAATGATATTCAAACCTGTCTGGAAGTTTAGTAATGTTGGACATTTATAAGACTTGAAGCAGTTGTGTCCTGGAACTCGTCTCTACTGAAAATAAAAGTCTAGTTGTTTTGTTTCTAGGCAAAACCATAATGAAACTTAAATTATGATTTAAAATCTGACATCTAGTCTTTAAGTGGTAACAAATAAATGCTCCTTTTAATGAATGGAACATGACAGACATTTTTTTTCTCAGGAGTAGAATGAGCCAGGGAGACTCTAACCCAGCAGCCATTCCACATGCAGCAGAAGATATTCAAGGAGATGACAGATGGATGTCTCAGGTAAAAGAAAGTGCACATGTATTATTCACATGAGATGAGTCTCTTCAATTTTTGAGTCTTTTGACCAAAGGTACAAAACAATGTTTTTACTGGTCAACAAGAATTTATTACTATAAATAAAAGCCTAACATTAGAAACATCATACCTAATCACCATCTGATGTTGGACCTGAGGAATATTTTTAAGCATGGTAATTGCCTTCTGTTAATTTAAAAAGATAATGTCTCTACAATAGTCCTTTTTTTAAGCTTTTTTAAAATTTTGAAGTAGTTTCAAAATTAGGCAAATATTACCAAACTTTAGAAAAAATTCCCTATATCCTTCATCTAGACTTAACATTTTGCCACATCTAATTATCGTGTCTGTATCTATTTGTATGTATACCAAAATACTGGTTTTTTTTTCTGAAGCATTTGAGAATAAGTTTCAATCTTCATATCCCTTTACTCCTAAATATTTGTTTATTTTTTAAGAACAATGATATTTATAACTTTATTTATTTATAACTTTCTGTTATTGTCTTCCCAAGCTTCCGTAACTACAGTATAGTTATTAAAATTAGAAAATTTAACATCGATATTATCTGTTACCTAATCTGAAAACCACATTCAGACTTCTCCAGTTGTCCCAATAATGTTCTTTGTGTCAATTTTCTTCCCAGTCTGGAATCAAACATTGCATTTATTTGTCACATCTCGTCCTCACTTATTGTCAATAGGTTCTGGGACGTTAAGCAAAATGATGTATAATGAAGACCAGTTTTACTATACGCTAATTGATATAAACGAGCTAAGTTCCTATGGCATCTTATCAACATTATAAGAAAACAGTATTGTGTGAAGTGACCTTATTTGAGGACCTGTTGTATTAACTTTGATCACTTGGTTAAGATAGTGTTAGCTTAAACCAGTTCTTATTTTTTTATAGTATGGACCCATTGGTTCCTATTTTATTCACTGGGTTATAGGCCATTGTAATTTTGAAGCTCAAATTGTCCCAGGTTTAGCAAGTGGCAATCCCTTTAAGCTGGCTCCTTTGTCTTCTTGATGTGTCCCATTGATTTTTTTAGAATTATTATTATTTTTTTAGCATTTTCTTCTTCAGTATTCTTATCTTCTTTTTAATAAACTGTTCAATTAATAACTATATTTAACCTTTATCTGTTTCTAATCATGTTACCTCTTTGAAGTAACAAATCTGTATGATTTTAAGTCTCTAGTTTCAAGTTTTAGTATTTAGTGATTGTTTTTATACTCTTTATAGTTGTGTAGTGGTCTCTTTCTGTTATTTTCTTCCCAAGCTTAAAAATCAGTCTATCATCTAACTTATTTGGAGTCGTAGTTAGATTTTTTTCCCAGTTGTTCTCATATGGATCAACTACTTGGTTATTCTTACTTAATCTTCCTTGTTTGTTTATGTCTTTAAAAAAATATTATTAAATATTTTTGAGCATCGGTGCATTCTATTCACCCTAAAAACCATTGCTAATAGAATTGCTATTCTCTGTATACACTTCATTGATCATGTTTCTTTCCCTGTCCTACCTCCCCACTCCCAAACCGGTATTCTAAATTTGTTATTTTTTTCATGTAATCTCTTTGGTGGTGACACATTATAGTGTGTACAGTTATTGAATTATAGTGTTGTACACCTGGAACTTGCGTTATGAACCAGTGTTACCTCAATACAATTTTTTTTCAAATAACATAGTATTTCCTGCATTTTTTATATTTTATGTAAGTAGTATCTCTCTGAATATATTTTTCTTCAGTATATCATACATGTTAAAAGGATAGCTACAGTTTATTTTCTCTCTTTAAATAGTATTTCATTGCTCTGTATGAAAATACTAGAATGGATTTGTTCATTTTCTCATTGATGGAAATTTAGGTCATTTATAACTTTATTAAAAGTAGTAACTAAAACTAGATGCCTTTGTTGTTCCTGGCATAAATTAGCAATGACTAGGAAAAAATTAGTCAAGTGAAAAAAAGTGAATATTAAATTTTTTTAAAAAGTTGTATAATGTGGAAGGACTAACTTTACTAAATATTAAAATACACACACAGAACTTGATTTTTAAATATAGTTCTCCAGTGAAAGGGACCAGGGCTTCTTGGAGAAATGATTGATTTCTGCAACTAGAACAAAAGAAAGATAAGCCTGGAGCATCTTGTAGTGTAAGAAAGTAAGGAAGTACTCAAAAAAGAAAAGGAAAAAAATGAATGGCAGAAATATCGCTAAAGTGATGTGTCCTCAGTGCATCACATAGAAAACATGTGATACTAGATTTCTTATTGACAATATTAACTTTGACTACTTGAAACCAATCTAGAAGAACATCCTAAGTGCAAAGCTGGAAAATTTGAGCAATATAATAAATGATGATATGATTGGTTTTTAACAAAGAATAAAATAAATATTCATTAATCCAGTCTGCTATAAATAAATGATTGGATGGATAAGTAGGGAAGGAGGTACAAATCTTTACAGAACAATTTAATAAAGATAGAAAGAAAGAGGGAAAATAAAATCATCATTAGAACACCATAGTAATAATTACTGCAGGCAAGATACATTGACGAATACTATAATTAATGGACACAACTTTAAGGAGAAGGCAGTATCTTTGTCTAGCCTCAAAGCATTTCCCTGTAAATTACTTTGGTGGTTTTATCATACAACCATTTTTGTTTTAATACCCTTCTCTCCAGAAGGTGGAACTTAATCCCTCCCACCTTTAGTGTGGGCTGGATTTAGTGTCTCAAAATTTAGTGTGGAAAGAAAAATAATCACTTTATAGTAGAGAAATGGTGGCAAACACCACTTTAACCAAGTAATTGATGTTAACTTTACTTGTAATAAGTCATATCGGTATAATATGCCCCCCGATGCGTAATACAAGTGCATATCACCTCTGTGGTAGTCTTAGAAAAATCCATAACCTCAGTCTATTCACGAGAAAATATCAGACAAACCCATATCAGAAGATATCTACCAAACATCGCATCAAGGTTATGAAAGACAAGGAAAGACCAAAAAATTCCCTTATTGGAAGAGACTAAGGAGACATGTAGACCAAATGCAACGTGACTTCCTGAATTGATTCTAGAAATAGAAAAAGTACATTAGTAGAAAAATTGGTGAGATCTGAATAAAGTCTGTTTTAGTTTATAGTCTTTACCAGTGTTAATTTTCTAGTTTTAACAAATGTACCGTGCTTATGTAAGATGTAAGATCGGAGGAAGGGTATATGGGCATACTCTTACTATCTTTGCAACTCTTCTGTAGATCTAAAATTATTTTGAAACATTTTTAAAAACCATGATTAAAACAAGTATTGAAGTGATACTCAGTACTACCCTTGAAGTATTGCCAAAATATCAAACCCTACTGTAAACTTACCTACCACATATCAGGAACTACCTGGAACAGATGAACAGGTTCACCACCACCACAAGGATGCAGACAACAAAATCCAGACTACAGGAGATTCTATAAGTCAGAAAGTTACAGTCTTTAAAAAGTAAGTTTAAGAGATGGTGATGGAGGAGGAACTTGTAGATTAAAAGGGATTTAAGAAACAATTGGGTCTTGATTTAAAAGAAAACAAACTATAAAACAAAAACTTTTTTAAAAACCATGATTAAAACAAGTATTTTTTTAATATCAACAAATAACCAGTGGTTTTTTTGTTGATATTAAATAAAGAATTACTATTTGTTATTTGTTGATATTTGTTGATATTAAATAAAGAATTACTATTAATTTGGGGGGAAATAGAGTTTGTATCGTGGTTATATATTTAATCCTTTAAGATTTACGCACTGAAATATACATGAAATGATATTTCCTCAACTTGCTTCAAAATAAACGATCAGGATGGGTGGGGCAATAGTTGGGGAATGACTGAAATAACTGGCAGGGCAGTAAGTTAGATGATTGCTGTATGGACATGGAGGTTCATTGTACTCTCTCTACTTTTGTATATGTTTAATATTTTCCATAGTAAAAGGTTTTTTAAGGGTGTTATTAAAAGACTTGACTGTAGATAAATTTAATACAAATCATATCAAAACATTAACCAGAAAAAAGGCTCAGCAGCCTTCTTTTGAGGAAAATATTTGCAGTAAATATTAAAGATGAAGCATTGATATTTTTGTTACAGTATCAGTAAAAATACTTGCAGTAAATATTAAATATTTGAGGAAAATATTTACAGTAAATATTAAAGATGAAGCATTGATATTTTTGTTACAGTATCAGTAAAAATATCCGTAAGGTACCACTAAATAAGTATTTCAATAAACATGACAGGAAGTGTTTAACTTTTTAATTCTCAAAAGTACAGGTTAAAACAATAGGGGGATATGCAGAGAAATATTAATATCCAGTGCAGGTACAAGTATGGGAAAACCAGTACTGATATATCGCCAGAGTCAATATAAATATTGCTCTTTTGTTAAGAAGTTGGAAATATCCATGAAAATGTTAATCCCCTTTGACCTAAGAATTCCCAAAATGTAAAAATACGTATAAATTTCTTCTTCACAGTAAATGGCTACTGACAAGTCTATCAATTGGAGAAAGCTAAAAAAAAAAAAAAAATTAAAAATGGGTGTGACAGTGAATACATTCAGTAGGATGTTATGTGGCCATTAAAAATTATGGTTCTGAAAATCACATACCTACATGGAAAAATATTTGTAGTATAGCATTAAGCACAGTTATAATGACTGCTATTTATTGAGTACCTACTAGGTGCCAGCCAAAAGCTGGACCCTTTTCACAACTCTCATCTTCTCAACTCTAAAACAGTTGCCAGCAGGTGTGAAAAACAAAACTCAGATTATGTGCTTGCTTAAGGTCACTGGACTAGAAAGTAGACAAGCCAGACTTTGAACATAGGTTTTTCTGTCCTCAGATAGTTGTGCCAGAAGAAGGTATGCATAATGATTCAACTATATAAAAAGGGTGGGAGGTTAATGTAAAAAAATGGATGAGAAGAAAATGCCCCCAAATAGTAATAGTTACTGAGTTAAGATGGTAGGATTATAGCTGTTTTGTTTCGATCTGTTTGTTATATTTTTCCAAACTTATTGCAACTGCTTTTATACTTAAAAAGAAAATGTAGGGTACTAGAACTTTTAGAACAGCAGAGACTGAATTCCATGACATTCTATAAATGAGCTATTTTATGAGTTCTGAAAGGTAGTTGGCACTGTATATAGTATACGCAGTAGAGAGTTGACATAATGTGAAAGTGCACCTGCTCATGAGCTAAAGTTTTATTCTTGCTCATCTTATCCTTTCAGTTTAAAAACTTATTCAAACAGTAGTAATTTAAAAAAAAAATTATTTACACAAGACATGAACATGAGAAAAAAGAAAAAGCAATCCTAAATCCTAGCATCTTAAAGAGGAACTGTTTTAATAAATTGTCAAATAAATTGACAATTAATAAATTGTCAGAAGTATTTTTGTATTTTCACCTGTAGCAGATGAATAGCTCAGTTTCACCACAGTGTCATCTGCCATTGGTATTATCAGCAGATATACTTAAATAGTAACTACCTTAATTACTAGGGGAAGCATAATTGAATGTAGTTTGAGAAAAAGAAACAGCATTCAGACCTTTCCCTAGAACTGGGTTGGAGACCCATTGCTTCAAGTATCGTGTACATTTGTTCGATGGGTGAATATAAAAATTTAAATATAAAAATTTAAACTATGTCCTTTATTATTGATGGGTAAAATCCATTTTAAAAAGTGTCTTGTGCCTTTAGAGCAAAGAAAAGTATTCCAGAACTAACTTACCACTGCTTAGACTGAAAAAGGCTTGAGTCCTAGTTTGCCAGTGTCTCATATTTGGAGTTAACAGACATTTGCAGAGACATTTGCATATTAAAAACATCCAAGCAAAATACATACCTCTTGATAGAAAAAATAGATATAATACTTTATCCACCTCTTGTAACAAGTGGAAAGATTGAATATGAATTGAATATTAGATATTATGGGATTATTGCTCATTTTCTTAGATGTGATAATAGTTTTGTGATTTTGTAAGACACTGTCCTTTGGAGATGCATGCTAAAATATTTAAGGGCACAGAATCCATGTTTGTAACTTACCTTCAAATGGATCAGCAAATAAACAGATAAAGCGAATATGGAGAATGTTATTGTTGAATATAGGTGGAGGAAATAAAGGTGTTTGTGGTCTTACTTCAGCTTTTCTGTATGTATTTCTGAAATTTTAAAAAGTTTGAAGAAAAGATACATTTTTAAAAAACATGTTAAATGTATTTTTCTATTCTAGTTTCAGTAAAATTCTGGTTTTCTTGAGCATACTGGAATGATCAATATGGTAAGAGTAGGGAGAAATTTCCAGCAGTTAATTGCTAATCAAGAGGAATCAGCTTTAGGGACAAATAGAATGTTTAACAACAGAATAACTTGTTGGACTTCTGGGTAGGCCAAGAAACCTCACAGGGAAAGTGCTAGTTTCTAATTTTTCTTTGTTCTTCACACCAGCACAACAGATTTGTCCTGGACTGTAAAGACAAAGAGCCTGATGTACTGTTTGTGGGGGACTCCATGGTGCAGTTAATGCAGCAGTATGAGGTAAATGTGGAAGGGATGGGTAGGGGTGGCTCTTGGCTACTAATGTAAATCCATTCGTTGCAAGCAGACTCTTATTTTGAGCTGAACCTACAGATTTATGCATGATACTTTAGAGAAGCTCTAATTCAGAGTATAAGGAAAATCAGACCTACCTAATGGGATTCTTTGTGCCACTAAGCATGACAAGACCAAAAATATTAGCATTTTTTAATAACTAAACTTCTTTTTTTGCCTTGGCTTCCAAGAAGCTTTACATTATATTTATTATATTCTAGTCACAATTTTCAATTCTTATTTGTATTTTACTATTTTCTTACTTATATTTGCTCATTTTTGTTTGTTCTAGTTATGATTCTCAATTCTAACTATATGTGTTTTACAATTTTCTTATATTGCGTATTTTGTAGTGAGCTGTTCCAAATCTTTTTTTAAGGTTGGGCATTCTTCCAAGGGAAATTTAAAATAAAAGATAGCTTTATTTCTTTTTGGCTCCAGCCCTTTAAATTTTTTCATATTATGTTTCTGCTTTTCTCTATTCCTTTAAATCAGGGATCCCCAACTCCCAGGCCACGGACCAGTAACACTTTATGGCCTGTTAGGAACTGAACCACACAGCAGTAGGTGAGCGGCGGGCAAGTGAGTGAAGCTTCATCTGTATTTGCAGCCGCTCCCCAGCTCTAGCATCACTGCCTCAGCTCCACCTCAGATCATCAGGCATTAGGTTCTCATAGGAGCACTGGTCCCTGGTGCCAAAAGGGTTGGGGACCGCTGCTTTAAATGGTGGAATAAAAGGAAAGAAGAATTTATTGAGTTGGCAATTATAAATGTTGCTACCTCTTAAGGGACATCAAGTTGAGGTGTGACTCAGTTCTTGAGACATAATGCTGCATGAAGAACAGAGTTATACAGTGGCATCTTCAAAGCCCTTCAAATTGTAACACCATTTGCAGTGTTATGTTCAAATACAGAAAATGGAAATTGTTATTTCAGATGCCTTACAACACATTGCAGTTGAGAAATTTTATTTCCCAATAATTTTAGCTTAAATAAATCAAGTTTTTCTCTTTTTAGATATGGCGAGAGCTTTTTTCCCCACTCCATGCACTGAATTTTGGAATTGGGGGAGATACAACAAGACATGTTTTGTGGAGACTAAAAAATGGAGAACTGGAGAATATTAAACCTAAGGTGAAATGAAATTTACTTTTTAAAGAATATCATTAATCTCAAGTCTTTTTCAGATAAATTGTCTGAAACTGATAGTAAAAAAAAAATTGCTTTTTTAAAGCATTATTCACTATTCTTTGCTTCATGCCCCTTTAAGATAAATGATGTTATCGTTGCTTTAGATCATTCCAAATACATATTTAATTAAGAAATCAGTGTATTGCTTGCTTGGATGATATTTATAATTGTTATAATTACCTTCTTCAGTTGTAGGAAGAGATTTGGCGCTAATGTGAATGTGAGGCAGTATGAGTAGAAAGTTGCTCAGAGGTGGGCCATGGGAGCAGGGCCAAAATTCACTTAAGGTAGTAATTTCAGATCTGTTTAACCATATAAACAAATTGATAATCAAAGCCTCCAAGTTCTTCTGAAGAAAATTTGAAGCATATGTGAACAAAGGTTCACCATAAACATGTACCCAGTACCTTATTACATTACAAATGTCCTGCATGTAATTTTTTTCAACCCCAGAGAAAAAGACAAAGCTGAGCCACTGATAACAGTTGCTTTAGTTATACTTTATTTTTTGCCTCTTTAATAGAAAAACTCATGCATCTTCCTTTTTTTTTTTTTTGCGACAGGGTAGAAAGTTACTTTGTATGTCATCTAAAATGTATTTTTCTAGGTGACAGCCACATTTGTAAAATTATTTTTTAAAGAGAAAAAACTGTTAAAAATGCTTCCAGCATCCACTGCAGTGACTCTTTTCCTTGAGAGCAACTGTGTATTTTAACCCATTACCCATTATGATGGGGGTAGCAAATATTTTTCCCCAAGTTTCTTAGATTTCACTTTAATTTTTTTTTTTACATGCAGAGGTTTTATTTTTATACATTGAATTTATTATCTATGCATAGTTTCTGGATTTTAAGAGATTAACTTCTAACTCCACAGTGATGAAAGAATTCTCTTATTTCCTTCTACTACTATTTTACTATTTCTGTATTAATCTCCTTGGAATTTATCCTAATATATATGAGGCACGAATTAGTGTTTTAAGGTGGCTGCTCATTTGAAGATATCCAGTACCATTTGAGAAGTTCCTTTATTCCTGGGTAATTATCTCCCCTTCCCCCTATTTTTCTTCCCTGAATTATAGGTCATTGTTGTTTGGGTAGGAACAAACAACCATGAAAATACGGCAGAAGAAGTAGCAGGTGGAATCGAGGCCATCGTACAACTTATCAACACAAGGCAGCCACAGGCCAAAATCATTGTATTGGTATGTAGTCTTTGGGTGGGTAGAGACCGTGATGTTATTAGGTGAAGAATCTTTTAGAAATATGATCGTTCATGAATATAAGGAATCTAGGTGGAAGCAGCTTATGATACCACTGAGAAACTTTTCTCTGATATATCCCATTGTCTTACCGGTCTCATCATTTCTCAGACCAGCTGTGGGGTCATCTTTTATCTGCTCATCCTTGTTTAGAAGTGGAAATCCTCTTTGTGGTCTCAGGTAGCCTTATTTATTTATTTATTTATTTACTTACTTACCTATTTTTAATGTCTTTTGATAATTTTTAAAGCTGCATATGAGACTTGTCCTAGTCCTGAGTCTCTATTAGACCTGGCTTTGGATTAGCTTAGATGTGTTGTTACGTACGTTCCACTGTTAATATGTTAAAGGTGGTGTATTTGTTAGAATCTCTGAGTTCTCTAACACATCAGAGATTTTGTCACCAAGAAAATAGGTATTTTATACTCTTACCTTTAACAGAAATTGCTATTCTTTGTAGAATTAAAGCATTAAGTCTTCATGGTCTCAGAGATAAACAGCTTTCTATTTCAATGTAAAAGTTTACCTATAGATATCTTTACCCCAACTAAAAATGTGTTTTAGCAAAATCTGGTATGTATTTAGGTTTTTCATGAGATAGTGTTAAGAATGTAGTCATTTATTCAACAAACATTAGGATTACTGTGTACAAGATACTGTCCTAAGTCTTGCACATACAAAAATGAAAAGACATAGTCCCTCTCAAGAAGCTCACAGTCTAGTAGATCGACACAGCAGTATAAAAAGAGAATAATTATACCTCATGCTAATGGAGTAAGGGGAGAACAGGATGTATTTTAGACATAAAAGTTAATATCTGAGTTTAGTGTTAAAGAATTAATTGGTCTCTAGACAAATGGGGATAGGAAAGAAGAGAGGGCATTAAGAAAAAAAAAAGAATGATCAAAGGCTTATACATGTATGTGTTTGCTGAGTTAGTTAACAAGAATGCTAGAAGAATTTTAGGATTGTCATTGAATATAGTTTTGAGACTGGGATGGTTAGGAGAAAGAGGCCACAGCCGGGTCATGTAGTAATGTGTATGCCATGTTAGGAGTTTGGATTTCACTTTATAGGTGCTAGGGAGCCAGGTTTGGTTTGGTTTGGTTTGGTTTTATGGTATTTCATATAGTGTACTTGTTTATATTTTGCCTTATTCCAGAAAGAATTACAGAGTCCACCTCTGAAGTACAGTGTCTGGTACATAGTAGTTGCTTAGGACATATTTATTGCATTAAGTTGCTGAATAAATTCTCCATAAATATTCTTCGTTTCAACCAGATTTTTCAATTTGTGGTATACAGTGGTTCTACCTATAACACTAAAACATTGACAATAACTTAAATAGTCAACTGCATGGAGAGATGATTGCATAAGACATTAACTATAATAGCAGTAATCTTATGACACTTCTGAGGACTATGGGAAAACAATTTATGATACATTTAAGTGAAAAGTTGGAATACTGAGTATGTATATTATATTTAGAATTACTTAAAAGTATATACACACACACACACACACACACACACACACACACACACGATTGAAAAAGGCAACAATTAAAATAATTGTTACATGGTAAAGGGATTAGGAGCATATTTATCTTTTTGTTTCAACATATTTTAGCAATTATTATAGGGAAAATCATGTTGGCATATCCTTAGTACTCATATATTAAGGAAAATACATAAACTATTTTTCTCATCCTTGCTTGAAAATTAAAATAGGTATGGTGCCCTGTCTTGAGGCTTAATCATTCTTTATGGTTTTGACTGCCGTGGTATTCTTTGAAAGTCAGAACAAAGTATATACTTATTGTTCACTGACCATCCTTCCTGGTTGCTCATTGTATCTCAAGCAGACTTTGATATGTCAGCATTGAGGGCTGCTCTGTTTTGTTAACTATTAGATGCAAACCCTTATACTTAACAGTCATATAATCTAGGGTTTAGGGTAACCTCATCTATGATATTTTTGAGGTGCTTAACAAGGATAGAAGGCGATAGACTATGGTAGCAGTCATAATTCTCTTTTGGAACTATACAGTCACACAATAAATTGGTAATCAAGGCCCCAACATTTTGCTGAAAAAATTTTAAACAGACACGAACAAGTACTTATTCTGGGCACAAAAAACATATTTTCTTTTAATAGAATACCCACAGAAAATCTATTTTTGGTAAATAAGATCTCTTGCCATATTCTATAGGAGAAATGGAGGGCAAAATTTTTGCCTAAATAACTAACTGGGTGTGTGGCGTCATTAGCTGTAAACCAACTAAAAGGTCGGTATATCTGACAATTTTATGACAGATTCGATATCTGTAAAGGCCATTTCTAGTTTGAGATGTTAAAACCTTGTTCTTGCCATATGAGACCAGGCTTTTATTTACTATAGTAGAAAGACATCTGATTTATCTGAAAATTATATGAGATCATTAACATATAAGTTAAAAACAGATTTAGTACACATCTCTTTTTTAACCTACCAGATGCTGTGTTTCTGATTCATCAAGACAGCATTTGTTCCAGCTCTTGTTTCTCATGTGTGGTAGTGCAGGTTCCATGTGGCATTAATCAATAGATGTGTATTTGAGCTGGATTATTCTGGTGACTGTTGAAAGTGATGTGAAGGGAAGACAACACTGGAGGTAGAAAGACCAGTCAGGATATTTTATATTAATTGAGGTGAATAGTATGTTAAGTTCCCATTATATATATATATAAGATATATATATACATTATATAGCAATGTATATCATTAGAATAGAGAAAAAAGAGTGGATTAGAAAAATATCTAGGGTGCAAAAGCTGAGTAATTCAATGATAAATAAGGTATGTAGGATGAGATACTTGGGATGTTGGAATGACCAGTTATAGAGAATGTAGGAGAATAGTTTGGCGGAAGATGATGAATTGCTTTTGGACATGTTAAGTTGGGAATGCCTCAGGAACATTCAGTTTTAGTACTATAGCTGATGTTCAGTATGTAGTTCTGAAGCTCTAGGAAGAGATCTGGGCCAAAGTGTTTAGCATAGGAAGAGCAATGAGCCAAGGAGAAGACCCTGAAGAATACCCGCAATTCAGGGACAGGAGAAGGAATAGGAACTCATGAAGAAACTGAGAAAAAATGGTCAGAGAACTTTTATTTAACCAGTCTGTCCAGTGTTTCAGAAATCAAAGGTGTAAAAAGTGCCAAATGGAGCAGGTGTTCCAGTACTTGAAATCACAAATAAATAAGTAGAGAAAAGCAAGTGACTCTTCTCATCTTATGTTTTTCTCTGCCCCAGGGTTTGTTACCTCGAGGTGAGAAGCCCAACCCTTTGAGGCAGAAGAATGCCAAGGTGAACCAGCTCCTCAAGATTTCTCTACCGAAGCTTGCCAATGTTCAACTCCTGGATACTGATGGGGGCTTCGTGCACTCGGACGGTGCCATCTCCTGCCACGACATGTTTGATTTTCTACATCTCACAGGAGGGGGCTATGCAAAGATCTGCAAACCCCTCCATGAACTGATCATGCAGTTATTGGAGGAAACACCTGAGGAGAAACAAACCACCATTGCCTGACTGGCTCTCATCAGTGTTAATGGCATCCCAGCTTCCTCAGATCAGTTATGTCACTGGCACTACAGAATCCTTCTCTTTCTTAAGGCACTTTGCTTTGTAGAATGTTCCTGGATGTTCATATCTAGTGTTTGAAGGGGAGGAGGGATTTAAACTGATCCTGTACATAGAAGGTTTGTTCGACACCGAAGAATTAGCCAAGGAAGATTGTTGTTTAAATTTGAAACCAGAAGGGGACTTTTTAGTTGTATGTGTGATACATTCATTGAATATCGCTGTTTTTCCTAGGACAACATCAAGCCTAAGTACTGAACAAAATGAAGATTCTTTTCTTGGCCTTCCTTTCTGTGGATTATGTCACATATAATAGTGATCAGAATCACACCTACTTGGCTTTAAAGCAGATTTTTTTCCCCCAGTTTTGAAGGTTCATAATTTAGCCTTTTTATTTTACTTTGCTCAATTAATCTCAGTGTTTCAACATAATAGCAGACTGGGCATACTTGTCATTCAAATATGGGAGATACTATAGTTACAAGTGAGTTTGTTCCACTTTCTTAATCTTTCCCAAGCTTAGCAGTGAAAAATAGGTTTTTCCCTATTGGGGTGACTCTGTGGAGGGTATTTTTTTTATGCTGCTGAATATCATGTCTATAATAGACCCATGCATGCAGCCTTTCCTCTTCCCCCCGCCCTTTTTTGGTCCTTGTTGACATTACAAGCTTTTAACACATTTTTGACCTAGGAGCTCTGTTGCTGGAAGTATAAGTCCCCAGCCAGTTAGTCTCATGATGATATTACTGATGTGTGACTCATTCTTGTGTGGTGTTATGTGCTCTAGAGTCTGTAGTGCTATCCACATTCAGAGTTCTGGTTTGTTTGTTTTTCTCATAAAACCTGTTACAGTTTCCTTTTGGGGGCGGGGATTCAGAACTCATTTCCCATTCCATTAGCCCTGACATTATTTCAAGTTTTATAGTGTCTTAAGGTGTGTATTTTATTTTTTAATTGGCTTAGTTTTTAAATTATATCAGTCCAGAAAAATTTGGCCTTTTCTCATGGGGAAACAAGTGAAGCTGCTCTTTAGAATAGACATTCTATTTGATCCCACCAGTTTAGTAAAAAAGAACTAGGTTTGTTTAACTTTTTAGACTTCTCCTTAATGTATTCATCTGAGAATTTCTTTAAGAGAGCTCTTTATAATCTTAAATGGTTTGTTCGAGCTACAATAACTGCCATTTAAAAAATAATGAGACAATAGAAGGTTTATTGTTCAATATACCTATGAAATATTTCAAACTGGATCTATAAACATTGTTAACTGGACCAGGTGGGTATTGAAGTTAACTCATCCAAGTGTGCTCTGCAGCGATTCTGCTTAACATTCAAGTTCAGTAATTAAGGCATATTTTGTATGTTCCGCTTGCAAGGCAAATAGCAGTGCTTTTATGTGTTGGAAGGAGGTTGCTGATTTGTGCTAAGAGCCACTTCTGATTGAGAGAGAACTTGGGCTGGTTTTTTTTTCTTGTCAATCCTCTTTTTAGAATTTTTTTTTTTTTTGTCTTTTAAAAAAATAACATACTTTTCTAAATATATCATGTCTTCATTAACAACAAAGTACACATGGTGTTTACTAAACTTTTTACTATATTGAAATTTCTTTCTTAATTTTATTAGCCCAGGTTCTTGAATTTTTCAAGACAGATTTTTTCTCTTAGCTGAGGTATACTTCTAGAGAGGAGAATTAAATTAAGCCACAATTTTGTGTGTGAAAAGACAGTTTCCTATCCAGGTCTTCTGTTTGTCAGAGGGTGGGAGTTGGTCTTACAAACCCATTAGGTTACTTCGGCAGCATAGGCTTTGAGCTTCTCTTGGCTAAGGATTACATATCTCTCTCTGAGCTGGCCTTCAGCTCCTTGCTTATGTGTATAAACCTCGGATGTTACTACATTTTCTATCTACCAGAGCTATTCAAGCAATAGTATTTGAACCACTATCCTTTTAAATAAAAGTCTGCCTCATTACTAATGTGCAGATACTGAGTCCACTTTTATTTCTTGCCAGCTTGCTTTGCACTACTTCAGGCAAAGTGTTCATCTGGTTTTCTTTGATTGACATCCCAGTTTGCTACAATGCCAGAACTTAATGCTTAATCTTTGGATTTCTCATTCATACACACACACGCACATGTAAAACTTAAACGTACTGTCCAAGTGAAATGTCCTAGTTGTCTTTGTGATTAAGGGGCCAACTTTCCAGGCAGCTAGCACAGGTATTCTATTTTTTTCCCAGCAAGTTTTAATTCCTTTGCCTACCCATTCCCACTGCGCTAGATGGCAGCTGGTGATGGCAGTATAAAGATTTCTGTGGTCACATCCCGAATATGGCAGGTGGAAGGTATACTGAGTGGAGTGATCTAGGACCTATTGTTTTGCTGTCCATAATATTCTAGACAGCTATGGGCAGTGCTCTGGCTACCACCTTGGGCCTGTTTGGACTGTTGAGGGCATCTGCCTAAACCTGAATCTTTTGTCAAAAACCTTAACTCAGCAAAACAAATCTTGAGTAGCTTATGCCCTGCTCTTAAGAATTCTGTCTTGTTAAAATTCCAACTTTCTCATGCTTTTTTATTTTTTTAACTTAGTCACTGTTTACAGTTGTATGCTAAAGCCTAAAATACTGTCTGTGCTGTGGTGTATGAGCATTGCCAATTTTATATTTATTGCCGTGAAGAAGAAACTAAAAATATATAAAAATGTGGAACATGTCCACGCTCCTAAATCTGTGTGGGTGCATGTGGGAGAAGTGAGTTAGGGTCTCTTGAAAGGAGGCTTTTTGGAGTGGGGTCTCCCAGGCTGCCTCTTGGTGTACTTGGGGATCACTGCTGCTGGCTGACTGACCTCCCCAATAGAAGTTTGTGATTCTGCTTTGGCAAAGTTTCATTGACTAGTAGAACTCATTCTGTTTTAGTGCATATTTCAATATAAATGTAAACATTTCACTCAAACTTGATGTCTTTCTGCCTCATTTGTCACAGTTTGGATTCCAATGGAGAAAAGAAGAGCTCTGGTTTTTTCCTACCTTACCACAAGCAAATTGGATACTTAGATCATCCTGCTGCTTTTCTGTGGGACTGAATGTACCAAGCTGACCCTCATCACTTAATCTTAGAGGTGTAAGATGGTAGGGTAAGATGAGCAGATACATAAATAAGTGGGAAAATGGTCAAAGGAAATGTTTCAGATTGGTTAAGAATATCTAGCTTTTAAAAACTTAATTAACTCTTAAACCATTAAACTGACCTTTCGACCCTTTTTCCTAATTTCAGTCTTTAGAATTTATTCACATTAAATATCTCAATTTCCATTCTTTCTCCATTTCTCACACTAATAATTACCAGTTTTTCTTTTTCATACTTTGGAAGATCTCTGCTGTTGCTCTCATCTTGAACTTAAGTGCTTCAAATTAATTGGACTTTTCTGAGTTCCTGTGCCATCTAGGAAGAAAAGCATCAGGATATTTCTCATCTGTTAATTACCTAAGTATTTTATGTAGGTGCATCCCCATTTTACTGTTAGCTGAGAGGTCCAGGGAGGATTTTTATTTTGTGAGTCATGTAATTTAAATGAGTGAGCTGAGATTTGAATACAGCTTTACCTAACTTCAAAGTCCTTGTCCTTGCTACTACTCATTCAACCTCAGGTATTGTTTTAGCTCTGTAGATTCTGATTCACTGAGTTCGTGACAGATATATCCTTAGTTCCTTAGAAGGTCCTGGGAATGAAATGACAATCTTACTTGGACCATGGCAACAGCTTCCTTCAGTCTTCAGCCAGTGTACTATCCATTTCCATCCTCCACATGGCCACCGAAACTCTAAAAACCAGCAGAATTAGATTGTGTTACGGAGAAAGAATTACTCATGAAGGGGTTCAAAGACTGCCTGGCTACTGTATTATGTCAGTAAGTGCAGATTGACACGAAGACACTACTTGGTTAAATAAGGAAACAGGAGAGTAAGTACAGTCAAAATAATGGCAGAAAGATAACTTTAAGCATTGTCAGCTTCCATATGCTGATCATGGGGGTAGGGACCACAATTGCAGATGAAAACATTGAATGAAGGTTCATATCAGACCCTCAGAACACAGCCGCTTCCCTTGAGGTCTACTCTTACACATGGGTCCCAGAATGGTTTTGCTGATAACTGAGTTCAGATATAATGCAAAGGACCACCTCATCTGAACTGGGTGAGTAGTATCAGTCTCAGTATAACAATGTGACTAAGGAGTCCAGGACAGGAATGTTGAGCATGCACACAGTTCTCGTTTCTCTGTCACCATCCCAAACTAAAACAGCCTGCCCCACATGCAGCCTCTTGAGAGCTGTATGACAAAAACAAGGGTCAGTTACTCAACTGGCCACCAGGGCCTATCCTAATGATTAACATCCCCAACCACCCCTGTAATAGCAAATTGCTATGCTAGTATAATGTTTTTTAGCAGCTAAAAGTCTGTTTTTTGTAATATTCACTTTATCTTCACCACAGTGATGCTATTGGGTTAAAATGGTTTACTTACCAGAAGAGGATAAAATTTGGAGGTAATAAACAGGCGTTTTTATTTTTCTAAATCATACCAAGTTCCTTAGGTTTCCCCTAGATCACAGCAATGGTGAAAGCAGCCTGGGTCCTGCAGCTTTGTTGACTATCCAGATAATCCCTTGTGAACCTCTTCCATACCCCAGGAGAAGTGGAAGAGACAGTAGTGAGTAGTGTGGTAGAAGGGAAAGCTCCTTCATTGCATCTACTTGGAGGAAAACTGACAAAACCGGCAGGAGAATCCATTATATACTTCAGCCACGACAGGGGTGAAATCTTAACTCAGCTACATATTTTTACATATGAAGCAAAGATCTGAAATGTTTTTCTAAACAGTTTCCATGGCCTGATTTTATGCTATACTTTGCCTTTTGCTTATTACCTGGCTTATTTTAGCTTAAATCATCACATCAAAAAATACATATCAAAAAACACTATACAAAAATATATATCATTTTACACACTAATCAAGCTTCAACAGCACACCTGTGGAGAATTCATGACACATCAGTACTGCAGCATGCTCACTGATAATCACTGATAGTCCAAAGTATTAAATGTAACACCCAATCTTCTCCATGACCTGGCCATCTTCGATTCCTATCCATACACTCCTTACTTTGAACTTTCATGCCAATAGCATTGAACTTTGAGTCTATGCCTTTGCCCCAAGTTGAGACCCCCTATCTGGAGTATGCTCCTGCTCCTATTCATATTTTAAGAACCCCTCAGGGATACCTCCTGGAGTGTTTTCTGGTTTCTATTTCCAACCCTGGTCTATACTAGGTCTCTCATCTCAGTTCTTATAATACCCTGTGTAAATATTTTATCATTGCACTTATCACTGTATTATATGCTTACCTATTTGTCTATACTGCTATATTACGAATTCCTTAAGAACAGAGAATGTGCTTTAAGTATCTTTGTATTTCTAGCATCTAACTTAGTGACTGGTACAAATAAGCCACTGAATAAATGAAGGAATGAATGAATAAGAGATTAAGTGATTTGTTCATGGTCTTCTACCCCGTAACTGTCAGAATTGAAACTGGAATATAAATCTTTTGACTACAATTCCTGTTCTTTCAATGGTACCATGCTGCTGCTTCTGAGAGACAATAGACATTATTCTTGCTAGTGGTAAGGGCAAACAGAGTTCATTTAACAAAAACAAAGATGCGGTACATATCTATTACAAAATTTTCGAGACATTTCTGGAATTGTTTGAGTAGAACTAGATGGAATTAATAGTTTTTATAGGAAAAGTGAACAAAGGTATTGTGAATGAGAAAATCACCTTTTTGAGGGCTCTGAGGACCAAAGAAGTAACAAGAAGCTATGGGGATGTAGCCAGTGTCTGAGCCAGAGTGTGAAGACCCTTTCTATTATTGAGAACAACTTGGAATAGATTGGGTAGCTGTACGTGATCTTTAGATACAGCCAGAGAGGAGTAAAATGTTCTTCAGTTGCATCTTCAGATTTCTTAGCCAGAGACCCAAGCTTGCTTGAAACAGGAGGATGGCTGGCTCATTTTTATCAGTTATCTTTGGAGACACAGATTTGAGTCGATCAATTATTTATCTGCTTGTTTTCAGCAACCTGATGACCAGGCTCATTTCCTGGAAAGCTCTGATGTTAGTTCCATCACATGGCCACAGGGAAGCAGATGCAAGGCCTGAATGTATTGCACACATTTCCCATTCCAACTGGTGAAAGCCCAGGTTTAGGAAATGGAAAGTGGCTGATCCATCTCGTGTAGAAAGTCCTGCCCACTCAGTCAAAGCTGCTTTCTCTTGACTCCCCCTCCTGTTCCTCAGATATTTTAGGACAATGAATGCAGCCAAGCCCAGCTCCTGTGTGTGACATTAAGGAGGACAATGAAGATGAGATGTGGCTTCTGAAGGCTCAAAAGTTTAATTTGCCTAAGGTGTACAATGCAGGGCTTTAAACCTACAACTTTCTGACATCAAAGTCCTTGCTTTTTCCTTAATACCATGAAGCTATGTGACAGTTTTCAGACCTTATCCCCAAAATGGCAGAGCAAATGCTGTATCTTTAGCTGATTCCCAATCTATATGCATCCCATTTTCACAGTCCTCGAAGTACAGATAACCAGATAGCCCTGGGAAAAAAACAGAACTTGCTTGATGGCAAGAAGTGCTGTGGTCTAGCTGCTGGGCCTTCCTATGTCCAGGACAATTCTATTTGAGCTCCAAGTAGATACACTGAACCCTGAAAAAATAGAACTTCAAGTCCATTTCTTTCAGAGAGTTTGATTTTGCAACTTTTTTTCTGGATTAAAGTTATACCAGTACTTAATTCTAAAATCTGATTTGATTCTGCCTGCTACCCATAGGCATGACCACTCCCTAATACCCAGGTTGCTAAATTACTTGATGGGACTCAGCTAATCCATTTACTGTGATTCTTACTGTATGCTACTCTTGGAGCAGTCTTAAAGTCATAATAATACCCGTGAACCAGATGAAATTTCTTTCCTGTCTTCTTGCTCCAAATCTCAAAAATCCTGTGGCTTAAAATGGAGCTGGACCCATGTAATTCTGGGAAACTTGTCAGCTGCCTGCTGAAAGGTCTCATTTCCTAGGCCCTTTCTATACTCAGGCTCAGAAGAAGGGCCTACGGTGAAGAGAAGGAAGTCATCTGAGCCTTGTGACCTCACCTTTCCCCCTTCATTACCAGGGCTCAGGTTGGGCTTTTTATATAATATGGGGAAAATTCAGTAGCTTGGACCTCTGCAGAGGGCCAAGGGGGCTGCCTTGAGGCCTTGACATCTCCTTTGCAAGAGTCTGGCTTTGAGACCCAGAACTGCCCTTCTTTTATGCTGATTGCTGCAAACAAAAAAGCCTTCTCTCCTCTTAGGGCTGCCAGACCTAAAAAAGGGCCTATTCACAGCTGGGTTGTGCTGTTCCCTCCTAGGGGGTTGAGGGTGAGGGTGGGGGGTAGCAAGGCTGAATAAAGGTCACTGACCTGAGAACAGCAAGAAAGTCTGGGGCTGCTATCCTCCTATCCTGTTTGAACACTGATAGTGCTGAGGATTCAAAGGGTAAGACCTTGAGACTTTGCAAAAGGGAAGGATCCCTTCTGGGTTTATTTGAATAGATTTCTCCCAAGATATTGCCAAGAGATAGGTAGCAAACAGAAATATTGATAGTTCACAGTTGTTTGGCCCCAAAGCAGTGTTTCTCACAATTCATTGTGTATAGCAAACTTCTAGAGTGCTTGTTAAAATGCAGATTCCTGGGTGCCACACCTAGAGATTGTGTGTGATTGAATAACTGTAAGGAATATCTGGGTGTGCATTTTAAATAGGCCTAGGGGTACATTTTGCCCCAAAGCCTAAGAGATAGACTTGGAATGCTTCTCTCCAGCCTCCCCACCCCCTCAGCTTGGGCTTATAGTCACCAACCAGCATCAACCAGCCTATAACAGAGACTCTATGAGCCTTAACTTGTGGTTCTCACAGCTCCCAGGAAAGTTTCTGGCACATGGTAGACCAGTTACATTACATCAGGCTAAGTGGGAAGCTCAAGCTCAGGGTGTATTTCTTAGAGTGCCAGGTTTACTGGCAAGATGAGGAGTTCACAATGGAGAAAGTGAAGTCCAGTTGGAATATGTAAATCCTACACTAGATCTCAAAACTGGGTACCTCTTGTTATCCTGAGGGTCCTCCAATTCAGGTTTGTCTAGATGTGCAGGAAAGAGGACTGGACCAAAGCGCAAGAAACTTGAGTCTAGCGAGCTCTTAACGAACTGACCTTTTCTGGGCTTTGCTCTCCTTATCTGTAAAATGAGAGGGTTGGCCCAGGAATCTGCTAAGGTTCTCTTTGATCGACTGTCTAGGGTTTTCCAGGCTGGGCAACTTGTTTCTGGTCTTCATCCTCAAGTATGAATGAATGCTTGGGCAGGGGCCAGGTCTAATTCTCCCACTCACCATTTGTCCAGTATAACTAGAACAGTCCCTGTCACATAGTAGATGTCCATTAAATATTTATTGCAGGAATGAATAAATATTTGTAATTAGTCATAAGGTAAAATAGTTCTCATTGGAACAGTGCCCAGGTAGTAAGGCAGGGGCAGGGGCTGAGGCTTCTGGAATCATGAGAGAACTCTGACAAACCACTGGCTCAGGTGGCTTCATCAGGGTGTCTGACAACTTCAGAGGTGGTCACAGTACATTCATTTTCCTTTAAACATATTTCATTTGTCTTATAAAAGAAATTCATGTACATTATAGAAAATTTATAAATTTTTAAAAGGTATAAGATATTAAACACCTACAATCCCGTAATTTTTTCTTTTTGGGGGTAATTTTCTGTACTTTTGGAATTAAAGGACAATGATACATGTTATTTTAAAAACCACCTGTATGTGATTCAGATAATCATTACTAAATTTTTACGCATTTTCAACGTTTTTCTATGCATGTCTATGTATTTGGAAACCATACTGTTTCTATAGGGTGATATTATGAATTCTTTGCTTACCTGCCCCTTAAAGTCTTAAGCATCGTTTTGGATGCCTTCATGATAATAGTGCATTTAACCACTCCCTCATTATGGACATTGAAGCTTTTTCCTTTATGCTTTATATTATAAATATCAAAGTGATAAGGATAGCTGCTCACACATTTTATCCGTATTTCTTTGGGATGGAGTCCTAGAGTGGAATTATTGGGTCAAAGAGTATGAATTCTTTAAGCTTTTTGAAACACAGTGCCAAAATATTTTGTAGAAAAGTTTTCACCAATTTACATTGAAAGTCACTAACTTTCAATGAGCTTTGTAGCCACCTCTACAGAGGAGAAAGCCCCGCAAACTTTAAGCCTTAAAGCTTCATCCCTGAAGCTGTGTGGCGACTTCAGTGCGAGGTGAGAATGCACAGGGCTTCCTTCTGCAGTTCTGCCTCAGCTACGCCTCAGCTTCCCCTCAGCTAGCAGGGCGACAGTCCTGTTTTCTAATTATTCGTTTCTTAAGATCTCAGGAGAAAAAAATGGCCCAGGGGTGGAGAATGTCAATGGTAATGGCAATGGGTGGGCGTGGGGGTGGCGGGATCCCATCCCTAGATTTGAGCAGAGAAGAATTTAACAAGACTGCAACACCTGGAGATCCTTCACGGAAACATCCGTCTATTCCAAAGAAGCTCAGGACAACAAAAGAGGAGATAGCGGGATAGGAGTTGAGCTGGAAGGCTGCGGCCCCTTTAAGGTCCAATCCGGAACCTGGCCCTTTAAATCTGTGTCAGAAACTGACGTCAGCCCGCGGGCCAGCCGCCCGGCTGTTTACTGCTGCGGCGCCCC